TGTCACAGATTGGTCAACATTGGCTTTGAAAGTAAGTTTCAAAACTGCTTTAGCCATTGGCGGACTTTGCCGCGCAGGCAAGAAACCGGTTTTGCAGCAGCGAATCCACAGGGAATCGTAGAAGTGTTGGATTCTAAGACTGTTGAATGCCGAGGACATTAGAAGGGAGCTCCTAGTGAAATATGGTGGGAAACACGAAACTCGTTGGTTGACAAAGGGGCACGTGCGGGATCTGTTGCCTGCGGGAGAGTTCGTGGCTCTGCTTGTTTATCGACACTAGTCCCCATGGACCGTATTCTTCCTGTTCTTTGGTATTTTTCCAACCAGGGCAAATGCTGCAAGTGCAAAGGCTACTTTTTGTATGGCAACTGCTTGAAATCGGCCAGGTTTACTGCTAAGGTGCTTTCTATATTCACCTTTACGCGTAGGCACTCTCAGGCTTTCCCCTACAGCCTTCTTCATGCCTCATTTGGGGAGTGGACAACTATGCTGTATGCAGCAGCTGTATTTGCATGCAAAGATTGCTCTGTGAGGCACGCAGGCACTGTTGGACGAGTGTGTGTTCTAAGTCACTTTGCATAGTTTGCTCATCTTTTGTTGCCTCGTAGTAGAAAGTTCACATTTTAACGCTATGGCGACAGCCAGCCATCGGATTGCCACGAATGCGTCGTTTTGGTCCGCGTTTGTTGTAGGCTAGTAATGTATCATTTTTTACGTTACATTTACTTTCTCGACGGACGCAAACAGTTGTCTTCCTATTTGCATTGTTTTTGCGTGTGTGCTTGCATGGGGAGTGGCGATTATGTGGTAGCTCTTCGGCTGTCGTGCATGCATTTGACCTTGAAGGGTACGTAGGGACACAAGGGTATGCGTACTAAATTAAGGCAGGAGAAATAAGAAAACTATGCTACATTTAAATACCGATATGATCGGTTGTGTGCCTATACAGTAGACGCTATGTGGAAGTCGCTGTGAATGCTCATAATATTTCGAGGGTCCAGCTACGTGAAGCTTGCTCCGCCTGTGCCACCGTCAGAGTCCAGGGGAAATAGGAGGGGATGAAAGCAGCCTTTTGAGGATCACCTAATTGCATTCTATTACATTTATATTGACTCTGCGGCTAAGTGTCTCCCTTGGAGACCTTAGCGACAGAGCGTCACCCTCACACGTTTACCTTCCATTAGGGATTAGGGTACTGAACGTCGTTTCTGCATTTCACTAGAAGCAATTATATCTAATGTACTGTCCGTGGCGTGCTGTTTAAGAGTTAGGCATTTTGTTGTACGAGTCTATGCAGTGCGAGCACGTTGCTGTATGACGAATATGGCAGCGGAAGTACGCAGTGCGTGCAAAAGGGCAAGGAACGGTTGATGGCTGGCTTTGCATAAACCAGGAAAACGCATACCCTCACGAAACACTACACACATAGCACACCTGAAATGTTCCTGTACGCATGATATGTTTCCCATCCAAAGTGGCTTCAGTACGATTAAGAGATCGAACCTCTACGTGTATACCTTCCGAGGCGTAAAACTCGTCTCTATGGCGGTCTCACGCTTTGCCAATACCAGTGGTGTCAGTGACTAATCCAAGTTGCCCAGCGATGAGTATACTTCTAGCAACAACTGCGCTAGAGAAACTCGATGATGCTCGACACAAAGGCTGTATAGCGAAGTGTGCCCGTCCGTACTGCCTCAGTATCGGCTCTACTCGCATAAAACTAGCACACAACTGCGAAAGTTACGTAAAGGGAGAAGCAAAATAACGACACTCTTGAATGCTACATGCAAATACGTACCTTGTGAGCCCAGAGTTTAGGTCACTAGGGCCCCACAGGGGGGACTCGACCTATGGTGCAATGTGGATGCTAAAAAGGGATTTTGATTGATTATAGATCAGATGCTCTTGATCGCATTCTTTTACTTTTATGCCTATTTTTACTATGCTGGTGTTTCTGTTCAGCTACAAGTGGCTACGGAATTGAGGGTCTAGTATGTGTGGATGCAGACAGGGGGGTTCAGTAGAAGAATCACAGAAGTGGCGTGAGGAGTGGTCCGGAAACACGTCACTCTTCACATGTGCCCTGTACCTAGACAATTTACATTGGCTTGGCCCTGTTGACAGTGGATGAAGAATTCTGGTTGTCCATAAGATAGACTGACCTCTTCCGAGTCACCTTTCCCCGCTCCTAGCATATTGGTCAGGGTAGCCCTCGAATGCCTTCTTAAGGCGACACTGCCGCATCTGCGTGTTAGACGCCTATCTCTGCTGGCTTCCTGGAGGCGAGTTCCGTGCTTTGTTACAGTGCCATGTGCACCATTGAAACGTCTTCAGCACGCCTTTCGTAACCTTGCTGCAAAATCCTCGACCTTAAGGCCTTCATTCCTGTTTCTGGATACACTCATTACCCATCACAATGCCCCACATCCCTCCATCAGAAGCTCCCCCTCCCTGCTCGGCTTTGCTCGAGCTCACACCAGTTGGTGGACGCCTCTCCATCGTCGCTTCTCTAGGACTGCCTCCTCCGCCTGCCATATCAGGTGCAACAGATCTCGTTGAGGAGCTCGACAAGCTTGGCCTTGGCTGCGCGCACCGAGCCGAGTATAAAAGGCAGTCCCCTGAGAGGGAGCCTTGGGTTGGCTCCCAAGTGGGGCAACCAGCCGGGAATGTGCTCCCCAGAACCACAGACGGTCTTGCAGAGGGAAGCACGTTAGGCAGCAATAGCGAATGGTCTTTTAGGTTGAGCCAACAACAGATGCTGGACGGGCAACAGGCTTTGCGGCTTTCAGTGTGGTGCGGTCTATCGAACGGAGCAGGAGGCCCTGCCAGGCCCTCCAGCGGGCCCATTCAGTCAACGGGGGCGCTTCCTGGAGCAGTGGATGCTACCAGTAGCAAGGAAACGGCGGGAGGCGAGGAACGCTGCGTGGCGTCTGAAGAGCAAGCACCCTCGGTATACAACTTTTACTTCCGCTTGCCGTGCTCCCTCCCCTCTTTAAAGCTTCTTGGGGCCTCGTGCCTCCCTCTACAAGGAGATGCAAGGACAAGGCAGGTAGCACAAAACACCAGTAAGGGAGAGCAACATCAGGTTACGGCTCTCCGGCTCTCTATGCAGTGCGACGTGAGGCCTGCTAGCCTCGCGGAGTCGATACAAGAAAAAGAAGATAGGATCCTGCGGGCACTACATGCTTTTCGACTGTCCTGTAGGTACGCTTTGGCTAGACATATGCACTATATTCTGGTGTCTATAAGTGTCCTACTCTTTGCCCTCCTGTGCCCTTCGTAAGCGATAAATGAAAGGCTTTTCGTAGGCAACGGGGCTGTGGTGAAACGGTTAGAGTGTAGGGAGTTTCCCGTAGGGAATCAACAGCTCACGCACAAAGTGGCACCCCTCCCTATGCCTTATCTCTCTGTGCCTTCATTGTAGGCGGTGTGGAGAAGATTTCGCGAACCTTAGGGAGGCGCAGCTTTTGCTGCTGCCTTCTGCCATATGGACCGAGGCCCGAGAAGTTGTGGTGAGACTTCACGTCAGGTCCCCTACACACTACGTTCCTGTACTGATGACACCACAGGCCAACTTCGTCGACCTGGGAAGGTGTAGCCATTACTTCTCCGTGCATTCGTGAAAAAGATGCGCAGCGTTTGTGTAGCCAGTTCGTCTTAAGCTGGTGGCTGCTGTTGTTACTGCTCTATATGTCGTTTAGTCATGCGAAGAATGCACCTCTGCACCATCGTACCACGGCGGCCTTCACCCAGCGTCAGGCAGGTATTTAGCTCCCTTAGCTTTTTTTAAGCCTACTAAAACTAAGCTTTCGAGGAATCCGTTATGGAGCTATGTTGATTCTCCTCAGAGGCAGGACGCATAAAAGGCTTAAGGGGGCCTTTCAGGGTCGTCTTGTGCATGTGGAGTTCGCAGAGTCTGCGTGGGTCCAGACAAGATCTTTATCGCCAGTTGTGACGTGAAAGGACTCTTGAGAGGTCCCAAGGGCCCTTGCAGCGAAAGAAACTTTGCGTCGAAATCGGCAGGTACTTTGTCCTTCCAGTTCTTAGGAGCAGTTTGTCTGCCGTGAGCTGCTTCTTTTCTCCACTAGTAAATAGTTGAGTTCCCCAGGGGGAGGGCAACTGCCTAATGTGTACCTGCTGTACGTGCAGTAAGCTGCGGCTCGTGTGGCGCTGTGCTTGGGGTCGAGAAGCAGAGAGCGCAAGGGCGCCTCCTCCCTCAGGCCACGAGTTTTCGAGGCTCTGCGTCGTTCGATTCCCAGAGTGCAGACGAAGCCCTTTCGAGCCACGCTCGCATCCCTGCAACCGAAGATGGCATAGACAGTGCAGCTGCTTGCTGTGGGCTTCGAAGCTTGCCTGCTTCTGGTGGTCGAGACAAGCGACAAGAGGCATTTGGACAAGTGTGCGTGCTCAAGAGGCGCATCTCGCTGCACCCAGGGGACTCAGGAGCCAGCACAGATGGACCCAATCTCTTCTTTCGTCATTCGGACTTGTCCGCATTTGCAGAAGACCTCTGTAGTTATAGTAGAGAAGCAGCTGCTCTCCGCTTCCTGGTGCTACCCTTTACGCCCCCCAAAGGGGCTGAGCGCCCGTGGGAAATTGGCAGGCAGGCGCCACCCGCACGCAGCCATACACTGCGTGCATCAGGAGACGCTATCTGCAACCACAATGGGCCTCAGCTGGTTTCTGCTGTGCCCTGGGTCAGCTGCGGACGAGAGACCACCTCTCTGGAGCTGCGCATACTCCTGAGAGAGTGTTTTGTGGCTGCGGGCGGCACCCGAGAAGGTGGAAGCCCAGGATTCTTAGCCATGAAGGTGCAGTTACAGTACAAATCGAAAATAGAACCAAGAGTCTTGTGCCCCTGAGTCGGTATCTCACCTTACTGTGCTTGCGCGAGGCACGGGCAGTAGGCGGCCTCTTAGTGTTACTTTGTCTTTTTCTGTGTACTTTGTGAATCCCGCTGTTAACATTTCATCCATTTGGTCTCGCTACGTGGGCCGCAGGTCATTCTGCGGGTGCTGAACGAGGCGAGATATCCCGAAGAGATCCAGGAGCAGCAGCGTAAGCGAGAAGAGAAATATTGTGAAGAGAAACAGGTGGGGCCGTTGTGTGGGGGTTCACCTACAGGATATATGCCGGTACGAATGCATTTAGCCCGCGTCAGCGTGCAACTGTTTGAGGAAGTGTTGCGATTAGCTCGAGGATCCATGGTGGGGGAAAATTTTCCTGGGGTTGCCAAAGCGCTCACACTCAATTCCCTAGGGCTGAGCAGCTTCAAGGATGAGTCCAAAGTGGCGTTTTTACCCTTGCCTTGACATGTATCAAGAGGTTCATTAGAGGCCTAATGGTAGTGGATTTCGTTGACAGCTGTCCTTATGGGACTGTCAGTGGCAGCGTACAGTTTAGTGGAGTTTAAGCAGGACAAAACTGGCGAGAAGCACAGGGATCCCTTTACCCCTTTCTGCTTCTTTTTTTTAAATGTTTTAAAAGCCGAAGCTGAGCTGTGGCAGGCCGCTCACCAGCTGCAACGCTCTATCTAAGGTCTCTGTACAAAGGTACTTCACCCCTGGTCAAACTTACAATAGAAAGAAAGCTATTCAGTTTTTCTCGAAAGGGCCCCGTCTCATACTTCCCAAAGGTTTTGGCATGAGCCTCGCTGCTCAACAGTCTTAGAATCCAACACTTCTACGATTCCCTGTGGATTCGCTGCTGCAAAACTGGTTACTTGCCTGCGCGGCAAAGTCCGCCAATGGCTAAAGCAGTTTTGAAATTTACTTTCAAAGCCAATGTTGACCAATCTGTGATC